AATAGCTGCTTTTATATACACATTTATAATTTAATTTGAATTTTACATAGTATAAATACATTTGATGCATTTTCTTGATATCATATAATTTTTAAAAAAACTATCATTAGATTATTATTACAGATTGATAAATTTTATACAACAGATTTCTATGATTTAATTTAATGATGATAATAACAATAATTTTCTTATTAAAACATTAAAATAAGTATTATAAACAAAAAATATATTATAATAAAATTATAAAAAACTTAATAAATTAAAACACTATTATTATATCACTGATATTAAGAGATTATAGTAATCTATTGTAGTAAAATTTATCAAAATATGATTACAGTAATTGAATCTATATTTATATTTACACAATACATATTATAAACTTATACTGTACAAATAAAATAATATACAATTATTTTAAGTTATTTAAATAAAAAATAATATTTGTATTATTATGATAAATGTAATTCAATTATACATAATAAGTAAATCTTTAAAAAGAACAGAAAAAAAATTAATAATTGTGTAATATTATTTTGGATTGCTTTGAGATACATACTTTGAGATACATATAAAATAGAATTTCAAAAATAACATATTAAGATAAATTTCTCTATTCATTATTGAATATTTAAAAAATAATATAATTTTTAAAAACTTTAATGATTATGATTTCAAGGTTTATTTTCACGTATTCTTATTTAATTAGCTGCTCTAAATTATTAAACTTACATTAATTTTAGTCTACACCACAACCTTTGTAGACTTAGTGAACTTGTACTTTGCTTCAATATTTCCTGTTTTAATATACATTATTTATTAGCATAGTTTAAAAAGCAATTTAAAAAGCATTGTTCATCAAAATTTAATGGAAAGAAGAAAAAAATATTACATAAAGACTTAACAAAATATTAATACAATTTATATTACTTATTATATTTTATTAATGTATTCTTCTGCAAGATCTTTCATGAAAAATATCATGTAAACTATTATTTCAAATATTATTAATAAGATTTATATATAAAATCATAAAATAATGATGAAAAATTATAAAATAAGTTCTTCTTGAATTTATTGTTATTCTATTTATATTGAAATTTAAGAAAATATTACATAAAAAGAATTTTAATATTAAATAATCATTAAATTAAATATAAAGTATCATGATTATTTCTATTTCTTAATTAAGCAAATTATTTTGTTTTTTATTTTATTGCTAATATTTCATGCTATTAAAAAAAAAATTTATATTTTTATTTTTTGTGATGGCACATTTTAAAAAATTTTTTTATGTCAAAACAGGAAAGAAAAATTAATATTTACAATTATAACTTTAAAATTATTCTCAAGATATTGTGCAAGAATTACGACCAACACAACTGGTACGAGAATCTGTTATACTACCAGGTGAACTACCTGGAGTTGATAATCCATTATGGCCTACACCAACAAAACGTAATTTTCGATGATGAGAACCTAAACTTTTACTAGAGCTCAATGATCTATTTCCATTATAACGTAATTGTGACGTAGTTGTCATTGCATAAGATTTTAAATGAGATTTAATAGATTTAGGCAATGGAAGTTGATCAATACCATAAACTGTTGTTCTTGCAACTATTGCACGACATGCAAGTTCTTGAAGACTGAGAACTAAAACATAAGATGATATTCATATCAGATTTTTCTGAAATAATAACAAAAATTGAAATGCATTACCTTTATTAGAGCGCCACAATCTTTCCATACCATTACGATGTAAAGCCATTCGAGAAAGTTCAGAAAAACTTTCACGAATATTAAAATCACAGAGAGGTGAAACTTCAAAAAATGCCATGTGATTTTTAGCTGCATATGCTTCAGCATCACGTTCTCCTACTTGTCTTTTAAAAGCTAAATGAAGACGATTACCAACAAGTACTTTTGGTACTCCAGGAGCATGCTACAATATAAATAAAAATTAAATATAATTTTGATATATATTAATTTTTATTTTTAAAAAATAAATTTTAAATTTGATTAATAGTAATTGTATTTAATATTTAAATATCTCAAAAAAATTAGTTTAAAAAAATGATGTTAAAAAATAATTTATTTTTAATATATTTTGTATTATTTATAATACATATAAATAAAATTAATCATTTAAAATAATTTTTACATACTTCTTCAACTTCTTTTAGCCATCTGTCAATACCATCAAAAGACCATTTATTGGTAATATCATAGACTAAGAATATACCTTGAGCTCCACGAGAATAAGATCTGATTATTGTACAAAATCTACCCTGACCTGATGTGTCCCATAATTGTAATTTTACTCTTTTTCCATCCAGTAAAATAGTAGTAGTTTTATATGCTAGAAAATAAATAATGATAATTATCCATAAAATAAATATATAAACATAATTCATATAATGTTTTAATAAATAAATAAATAAAATAAATTTAAAACTATTTGTATAAAAAATGATATAAAATATAATATAAAATATAAAAATAAATATAAAATAATATAAAATAAATATTATTATATAAAAAATTTCATTATAAATGTTAATAAATAATTTTCAATAACAATAAATAAATTCTGGAATTTTTTCTTATATTGTTAATAATCATTATTATTCAATTTCAAATATAATACAATTAAAAATGAATAGCACTTTATTATAATGAATTCAATATAAATACATTATTTATATTTTTACGCAAAATTAGATTGAAATAGAAAAAATAATTTAGAATAAATAATAGAAAGAAAAATTCTAAATACCACTGCCGCTGCAAAACGGAGATTCGGCAGCACCGTCTTCAAGTCCACTCAAGATTTCTTGTTTTCCAACGTCACTGTCACCCACCAGCAAAAATTTGAGGAGGTAATCGTATTGTTTTTCTTGACGAGACTTCGTTGTGCTGGCCTCACCTGCAGCCATAATAATCCTGTATTGGAAATCCTGAGCATACTGCAAACAAACCTCTATGCACTGATCGCTCTTTTAACGCTTTTTGTATCTAAGGATCCGTGGACGGATAAACTTTTTTAATAAATTGTTATTGCAAATCAGACCATGTTTCTCTCTTCAACCCAAAATTCTTTTTGCACATTAACAATATTTCTTTATAACATTTCATCAATGACTATTATTCTTTTAAACAAAATCATAACAAAATAAGAATGAATTTCCATCATTTTCCACTATATCATCTATTTTATGTTTAATTGTTTAGTTGAGGTATCTACACTTAAAATTATCGAAGGTTAAGTATGTTCGTTAAGTAACTAACTTTTAAGGCTATATAAGAAACCATTATCTAGTATCTTTTCTAGTTTTATTACTAGTTATTTTTTCTTATCTAGTTACTTTAATTATTTATTAAAAAAATCTTATTATCATCTATTGATAAGAAATATTATTCTTTTACTAAATAAATAAATAAATAATTTAATATAATTTAATTAATATTGCAATTCAATCCAAAGAAGATATTATATTTAATTTTTTTAATAATTTAAAATAATTAAATTAAAATTTAAGTTTTTTAATATTTAATTTATTTTAATCATGTTAAATTTCCATAAATCAGCCAATTTTAGAAAAATAATAATTTTAATTATTAATAAATATATATATATATATTAATAATTTTAAAAAAATTGAATAATAAATATCATTGAAATAAAATTATTAATTGTAAAATAGATTTTTATGTAAAATAATAATTAAAAGTGATAATTTATTCAAATTTGAATATTTTTATAATAATAATCATATTTAATGTTTGAAATATGCAATAAATTTTTTTAATAATAAAAGATTTAAAATATTAAAATTTTGAATACAATTTTATATATTTTTAAATCAAATTATAGTATATAATTTAATAAATATTAAATATTATAACTTATATATATTTTTTTGAAATATTAATATATAATAAATTTCATTGATTAATTTAATTTATGTATTTATTTATTCTTTTTTATGTAAATATGCATTATAATAATATATTTATACATAAGTTATAATAAATACATAGAACAGACTGTTTTTTATTTTTTGAAATATATTTTTTAACAAACATAATATATGATTATCATATAACTAAATAAAAAGAATAACTTTTAAAATTATTTTTATACATGATTGATATTTATTAAATTTATTAAATAATTTCAATTTTTAAAGTATTAAAAAAGATTTAGTATAAATATTTCTTTCTTATACTAAATAAAATAAATCTAGCATTTAAGTTTTAAATGACAATTCTTTTTCTCTCTTTCTCTCTTTTTTTTCCAGCAAACATGTATAAAACGTATAAACAAAATTATATAATATTCTACTTTTGCTATTTTCACAAATAATTTATAATTATATAAATTTTATTTTTTAACTATTTGAATAACATCTTCATCATGCATAATATGTTGTAATCCAACTCGTTGGGGTGAATATTTGGTACTTGTACCCTGAAAAATAATATATTTATAAAGATAATATGCATTTTAAAAAATTTTTTTCTTTTTAAGATGTTTTTAATTTTGAAAAATTATATATATTTTTATGTATTATTTTTTATAATTTATTATTTTTATTATATTTACATATATTTTGGAAATTAACAAAAAAAAAATATGCATAGAACATACATTAATTATTTTATATATTTTATAATTAGAATATATATTTATTATTATATATTTATAGTTATTTGTAATTGTTGTTAAATAATTTTTTCTTTTATTTTTTTATAATTATTTCATAAAAATAAATATTATATTATAAATAATAAAAATAAATAATTTATTAAAATGTTATTAAATTAAAATCTTTATTATATAAAATATTTATTATTAAAGTTATTAAATTAAAATCTTATTATTAAATTAAAATCTCTGATTATTAAGACGATATTTTACCAATTTTTTTTTTGTTCTAAAACAGTGCTGTCCACTGATGGGGCCCTTTACGCGGTTTTATCTCCCTTTATGCTAGTATTCAAAAGTAGTGGAGTAATTCATGCATTTCCATCTTCTATGAATTCTTCAGTCACATTTCCTCATTTTATATTCAATAGCATATGTTATGTTCAGTTATTAATGTATTTTCTTCAGCTAAGACCAAATATAATCAATCCTTTTATTTGACTGTTCTGAAAATAATCGATTAAAGTTTGAATTCTATATATTAGAGATAAAAATCTCGCACGAAATAACACAGGATGTAGATGGAGCCCATTTTATTAGCAACTAAGTTTGGACAGCACTGATCTAGAAAAATATATATTTTTTTTTTTTGATATTATATTATTTTTTTTTTATTTATTCTAATAAGTAAACATAATAGTTATAAAATCAAAATTTTCTCATTTTATTAAAAAATATTAATCAATAATTATAAGAAATATAGGTTATAAATATAAAAATATAAAAATTAAATATTTATTACAAATAATTCTTACCCAAACAAGAGCATATTTAAATTGTTGAGCAAGTGTACGATGAATTGCATGACATACATGTTCTACTGTAACTCCTTTTCTTAATATTAAACCATCTTCAAAATCAGGTGGTTGACCAGGTTTTTTTGTATAAACTCTTATTAAAGATAAATATTCCCATAATGTTTCAAGAAGAAAGTCCAAATTTAATTTCATATTGCAACTATAAGAAAAATGTTAAATTATTTATATTATTTATTTATATTATTTATTATTTATATTATTTATATTTATATTTTTATATTTATATTATTTTATAATTTTTTTTATAATTGGTTAAATAATACAAAAATTAAAAAAAATGAATCTTTTTAATAAATAAAAATATTTAAAAATACATGAAAAAATTTTACCTAACTACTACACTATTAGGCTGCCTGGCAATTCTATCCACTTCTTCTATTGATATCTGATCTATTTTGTTATGTACATAAAGACATGGTAAATATACTCTGTTAGCATTAATTACATCAATTAATTCATCTGCACTACAATCTTCGCGAAATAGAACTTCTGCATTGAAAATTTTATATTCATGTAAAATCATTTGAACTAATTTTTCATCTACTTTTGTTAATGGACATGTTGAGTTAAATGCTAATCCACCTCCTTTCTTTATCTTGAAATATATGTTTGGCTTTTTTTTATTAAGTCGTATACCAACTGATTCTAATTCTTTTTCTAAAAGTTGTCTTTGTACATCTTGTTTAGTAGCATCTAGCATCATAAGAACTAAATCAGCTGTTCGTGCAACAGCTATTACTTGTCTACCCCTTCCTTTACCCTAAAATATTTATAGATATAAAAATTTTATATATTATTTTTATTCATTGATATAAAAATTATATATATATAATTATAATTATAATTATTAATTAAAATTATATTAAATAAACTATATTAAAAAAAATTTGTAATTACCTGTGCAGCACCTTCAATTATTCCAGGAAGATCAAGAAGTTGAATATTAGCTCCTTTATATTCAATAACACCAGGTATACAAGTTAATGTAGTAAATTCATAAGATGCTGCTTCAGATTCTGTATGTGTTAATGTACTTAATAAAGTAGATTTTCCTACAGAAGGAAAGCCTATTAAAGCTACTCTTGCATCTCCTGATTTTAATACATCAAATCCTTCTCCTTTTTCAGATTTTTTTGGTGGTTCTAAAAGTTGTGATCTATATTTCGCAAGTTTTGCTTTCAATAAACCTAAATGATACTCAGTAGCTAAAAATTAATTAATAAATTAAGTTAATTATCAATAAATTTGATTTTTATAGGAACCATTATTTTAAATATTATGATGATAATATTATGCTAGATATTAAATTATTATCAAATATTATAATTATATTAATTTCAACTATTATCACATTAAAAATGTATATTGAAAAATCTAATAAAAATATAATAAATAAAAATATTATTGAAATATTATTAAAAATTAATTAATAAAAATAAAAACATTTTTTCTAGATGAATATTATTAATAAACTAGTATAATATAAAGAATAATAAAGATTTATTATAAATCAATTTTAAAATGATTTATTAAATTTAAATTATTATATTTTATAATAATTATTTAATTTTAATTGAAAATAAAATATTTTATATCAAAAATTATAAATTTTTAATATTTTATAATTTTTTGCATATGCTACAAATGCACAAGCAAATGTACAAATACTTTTACATAAGATTACAAAAATCATTATAGCTTTAAAATATGAACAAACCTTTATTTTTTTGTGTCCGAGCAATTTCTTTTTCAATTTCAGATATTTTTTCTAATATTCCCATTTTAATAAAGTAACAAATGTACAATAAATTTACATTTACAAAAATGACATACCCTCTTACGCGTGGTGTGCGTGATAATATAAACCATTTACCATAAACAATAAATTATTAGAAGAACGTTCATCGTTATTCAATGACGCCATCTAACAGTTTAATATAAATGTTGAATTTTATGTTCAAATATAATTTGAAAGAAGCATATCTTAAATTATACTAGTTTATGATTATATTATTTAGAATAATTTGTGCATGTAACTTTTTTCCTTTGGATTAATTTATAGATTTTCAAAAGAAGGTTGTATTAAATATTTTACATAATTAGATAAAAGTAATAATCATGTATGACGATTACAATGAGGTAAATATTAATTAAATAAATGTTTATATTATAATGTTATTATGCCAATAAAAGTATAATTTAAATTATTTTTAGTACGATGCTTATGATGATTATGGACCACCAGATGTTCATAGCGATCAATATGACAGATTAGGTTATCGCCAAGTACCAGAAGTTGTACGAAATTTTTTAGTATTTTTGCGAAATTGTATAAATGAAGGAATGATTTTTGAAATTCAAAATCTTTATGAAACAACATTTCCAAAAATTTCAGAACAATTATTTGATAAATCTTCTTGGCCAGATACTCAAACAATTGCACATATAGTTGACAATGATCCAGTATTTCTTACACTGTATAAAGAACTTTATTATCGTCATATTTATGCTCGTATGCAAGGACCAACATTAGAACAACGTCTTGGTTCTTTTTATAATTATTGTGATCTTTTTAATTATATTTTACGTCCTGAAACACCAGTCCAATTGGAATTACCTGATCAATGGTTATGGGAACTTATTGATGAATTTGTTTATCAATTTCAATCTTTTACACAATATCGTGCTAATTTATCAAACAAGACACCTGAAGAAATTGAAAACTTAAATGCACATAGTAAGACATGGGATGTATTGTGTGTTTTAAATGTCTTACATTATTTAGTAGATAAATCAAAAATTAAAAGTCAATTAGAAGTATATGCAAGTGGTGGAGATCCAGATTCTGTTGCTGGTGTATTTGGAAGGCATTCTTTATATAAAATGCTTGGATATTTTTCTCTTGTAGGATTGTTACGTTTACATTCTCTTTTAGGAGATTATTATCAAGCAATTAAAGTATTAGAAAATGTTGAACTTTATAAAAAAAGTGCATATTCACATGTTCCTGGTTGTCAAATATCAACAGCATATTATGTTGGTTTTGCTTATATGATGATGCGTAGATATGCAGATGCAATTAGGACTTTCTCTGGTATATTATTATATATTCAAAGAACAAAACAATTGTTTGCAACACGAAGTTATCAAAATGATCAAATTAATAAACAAACAGAACAAATGTATCATTTATTAGCAATTTGTCTTGTTCTTCATCCACAATGTATAGATGAAGGATTACAACAAGCATTACGTGATAAAAATTATCATGAAAAAATGTATAAAATGCAATATGGAGATTTAGTTGAATTTGAATCATGCTTTCTATTTGCATGTCCAAAATTCTTGTCTCTTACACCGCCAAATCCTGATAATCCAAATGAAGACTATGTTCGAGAAGCAATTAAACATCAAACTCAAGTCTTTATGGATGAAGTTGTTCAACAGAAAATGTTACCAACAATTCGTTCATATTTAAAATTATATACTACTTTACCGTTAAGTAAACTTGCTACATTTATGTGTAGTAATACTAGACCTGATGAAAATTGGGATTTAGATAAAGAAGTTAGTGCATTAACTATTCATCTATTATGTTTTAAACATAAAATGAAAAATATTGTTTGGACAAAAGGTGCATCAGGATTAGATGGAAAATTTCAATCTGGTTCAGAGGTATTTTATAAATGGATTATGTATTTATAAAAATTATAATTATTATTATTATTATACATATTATTTTATATTATTATATATATATTATTGATTTAGTTTTATACTTTAATATTTATTATTTTTTATATTTACTAAAACTAAAAGATTAATTCATAATATTTATTATAGCTGGATTTTTATATTGATCATGACATGATTCACATTGCGGATACAAAAGTGGCACATCGTTATGGAGATTTTTTTATTCGGAAAATTCTCAAATTTGAGGAATTAAATCGCAAATTACATCATATAAAAATTTAAGTATGTCATTTCAATGATATATATTATATAAAATAAAAAATTGATAATAAATATATTATTTGTATGATAAAATTCAAAATCAATCACCATATTAATTGATAAATTAAATTTCATCATTTTAATAAATTTAAAATATTATGTATAACATATATTTATTTTTTACTTCATTATTAACATAATATAAATTCTTAAAATATATTTTATCTAAAATATGCTAAAAATTAATATGATTAACAATCTCTAATTTATTTTATTTAAAATGAGAGATTAAATAATAATTCTAACAATTTCTCTAGCATTTTTTCATGTTTCATATATAGCATTTTTTAAAAATATTATTATGTTAAAAATAATATTTCCATTTGTTTATAAATTTTTATAATATATTTAATATGAAAAAAATGATATATTAAGATATATTAAGATAAATTACTATTAACTATTTTACTTATTATTGATTTAGTATATAATATAATATAACATAATTTACATTACTTTGCATGTTGTTAAATATTAGAAATTGAATAATATAGATAATGTTTTCAAATTATGAAGGTAATGAAAAAAATGATTTCCTCTTTTATTACTGGTATTAGCTCTCTCTCTTTTATTACTGGTATTAGGTCTCTCTTTTTTGACTCTATATATTTTTTCATGGAAAATAATTTATAGTTATAATTTAATAGTCAAATAATAATAGCGTAAGATAAGACTATTCATTTCTTTATTTAATTGTTTTCTTAACATAATATTATTATAATAGCGTGTTTTTATTATAGTTAAACATTTAACAATATTTTGTTTACAATTTATTCATTCATTCATTTCTAAATAAATATCATTAAACATTGAATATTGAGCGCTATTTTAAAGACAAATTGAGATGCATTTTTATTTTTATTTTATTTTCTAAATTTAATGCAGAATTTTCTATATCAATTAAAAATGACAATAAAATTATATTACTTAATTTACTTACCACATTGACTAACATAATTTTATTATCGATTGTTCTTTCATTATTTATGGCATTTCCCTTTTTTCTTTTATTATTTTCTTTATTATTTTACTGTCTTATATACAATATTTTATTTTTCACTAAAATGAAAAATTTTTTAAATTTTCTTTAAAATTTATAATTTATTTCAATATTTATAGTGGATCAAGCATAATAAGCATAATAAATATTGTAACTATAGTATAGTTTTTCTAAATCTAAATCTTCACATTGCAATAATTTCTGTGAAAGAAAAAAAAATCTTTGCATTTTTTATAATATTCATCATACGATATGTTACATTAGATTTTTATTATATCTTTAAAAAGACCTTAAAAAAAGAATATTCAATATAATAATTAACTTTGGATAAAAGTTCTCCAATTAGTTTAACTTATTACTATGCAAACAGAAAATCTATAAACACTTTCTGCCAATGAAATTAATTTTAATAAAAAGAAATTCTAAGTTTTTAATTCTATCATAAAGTGTCATTTTATTCAAATGTAGATAAATGTTTTTCATGTCATAACGAATTTGATTCTAATTGATACATAACAGAAATAAATTCTTCATCTTCTTCAAATATCAATAAATATCTAATAACTCTCTAATTACTAATATTTACAAAAATTAGTAAATTTTATAATTTTTTTTTTTTTAGATTTGAAATTTGTTTTATTCCATGTAAAACTTAAATCACAAAAAGTAGATATTTTTTCATTTTTTCTAATTTGATGTAATTTAGTTACTTTTCCTAATTCCTTTAAAAATCTTTTTCCAATTTGATGCATTTAATTCTAATACATTAAAGATATAAAAAATATTTTCTTTTTTTTTTTTTATTATTAAAAAGATTATATTAACTAAACTTTTTAATACTTAATGTATAACCGAATACATTTGTTAGATAGATGTTTGTAATTTTATATCATCTATATGGTTTCAATAATATAACTATTTAATTATTTAACTATTTAATTTTTGTTCAGCTATTATAAAATAATAAATAAAATTCATCTTCATTGCTAATATCTTTATATTGTTATAAATTATATAATATTATTTTTTATCCAACTAATCATTCTTTCAATTTTACTATTGCTATTTGGTTTTCAACTAACTATTTGGTTTTCATGAGAACTTTTAGTTTATATTTATAAGTTCAATTATAGCATTTAAATTGATTTATTTTCATTTTATATCCTTTGTTCTTTTATTTTTTGATTTTTTATTTTTTTTCTAATTTTGCTAATATAATAATTTAGCTAATATTGATCTTGGATTGTTCCTTATTATTATATTATAAATGAAATGAATGATAAATAAAATAAATCTAATATCTGACATATCTTTTATATTTATATGTTTTTCTAAATTTTATGGTTTCTTGAATCTTTAATTCTTTTTAATTTCTTTTTGGTAAAATTTATAATATATTTAAAATAACTTAAATTTATATTTAGAATGTAATCCTTATAAATATTCTGTGGAATATGAAAAATGTTATTTTCATTCTATAATGTAGCAATTTCTTGACTGTGTAATATAATTTATAAGAAAAAATATATTATGAACATAATTTTTTTGTTCACATTTTTATTACCATTGTTATATTTATATAAACAATATAAATAATGCTCTTATTATATCTAGATCTAGATTTTCGTTTTGTAAATAAAGGGACAATTTAACAGATGTTTTAAATTGTTATAAAATAATTTTATAATTGTCATGATTTTGTTTATTTTTTATAATATTTCTTAAAATAAAATTATTCTATAAATTTTTTTTTATCAATGTTTATTCATATTTATCAAAGTTAATTATTATTTCTGTTTATTTTCATTTTGTTTATTGTTTGAACATTTATTATATCATTCACTATATCATTGTGCT